AGAGAGAGAGAGAGAGAGAGAGAGGGAGGGAGAGGAACGAGGAGCGCGCCGGAACCGACGGTCGCGAGTGTGCGGCGCGATCGGAGTCACGAGGCGACCCGGAATAACGATATAATAGCAAGCCCGCCGGCCATATGTGAGTGTGTATTCGCCGCTCGGAACACGAGGAACGTGTCGAGAACAAGGGGGTCCCGAGTGACGTCGGGGGGGCGCGTGCAGAGCTGACTTTGTCCCCCCCTCCACCCCTGCGTCTATAATCGGCACCCTTGAAGGCTCGCCGCGGTGCCGAGGAGAGGATCGCTCACCGATTTTGCGGTGTGGTCTAGGTAAGTTTTCAAGATGTTTCTTACGCTTCTCTCTCTTTCTTCGTCTAACGATTTAAGGAGTTATCTACTTCGCACACGCTCCGAGTTTATAGCTGTACAAGGTACTCGCAATCAGCTGACAGTGAGAACTGACAGTTACGAATAATATTTTTCATTGTTTTGGAGTACTACATCAGTATATTTGTTAGTAATAAACAATTGTTAATTTTATAATTGTTATAGAAAATAAATTTAATTTTATTATTAAAAAATTGGTACATCGTTTTAATTCAATTGTCTTAATTAAGTCAAGGGTTCGTTGGAATAGCGAGCTCCACATTTTGTAAAAATGGAGTAAATGAACTCTAAAGTTAAAATAATGGGGAAAATATTAATATCACATATTCAATCGAAGTATTAATGTCATATTTACGTTGTGATTTAGCCCCATAACGTAATCAAACGTGATATTAGTATTTTTTTCTAATAATTTTAGCTTTAGAGTTTATTTACTCCGTTTTTGCCAAACGTGGGTTAGTCCACTGTCGCAAGCTGTTTAAGTGAGTTAATTAAGGCAGTTAAGTTAAATAATACTAAATAAGTTAAATAATATTAAATCATTATTATGTTCTACAATTATAAAATTAGCAATTGTTTATTACTAACAAATCGTTGTTTATCGCGAGTAATACAAGTAGAAATTTAAAATCAATTCTGAATCTTTAATCTATCTTTTATCTAAATACTTCTATGCTTGAATGTAGTAGAGGTATCAAGTCTAAACAATATGATTTAATAAAATTTTGCTAACTTTGAAAAATTAAATCTATTTTCTTAGATTTATTTTACGTCGAATTTCACGCTGATACTGAACATACAAAAATCAAAGACATATGGGATAATATTTTTATTAATTTTTACAAAAGATTATCTATTTATAAAAATATCTGCTTATAAAGTGAGAATACAGCTTCAGTTTGAAATTTTTAGTCTTCACTATCAAGCATTTTACTAGCATGATAAATACGAATTCATCATTGTAATATATGCAAACTGTGTCAGATTCCTTTTCCTGTCTTCACGCAAGTAAAGTGTTTTATAGTCTTCAGGGTTAACCCTTTCGTGCTCAGAGTGAGATATGCTCTTCTACTTATTTCTTGTCGTGAATCATATTTAGCAAATGATATCCCTTGCGATGTGTGTCTTAAAATGCACATAATTTTTCCAAATTTTTTAGCTTAAAATATGTAATAATTACATACAATTTAAAATTAATCTGACGAAAAAACCCTGAATTATTTCATATACATTCACATAATGTCTGATTAAACGATAATTTTTATGCATACCAACTTTCTCTTTGTTTCTAATTACACATAGTGTAATTAAAACATGTATTATTAAAACATTAGATATAATTTTAATACTCAAAGTCAAATTATATTTTTAATTATGTTTATTTTTATTATTACTTTTTATGTATTCTAGTACAAGTTTTCTTATAATTTATGTGTTGCAAGAAATTATCAGATAAGCTTTTGAGAAAGAGATTAAAGTATCATACAGAGAAATTATCATATTAATTGGCTAATACGTCACTCATTCAAGTGACATCAGTTAATTCTGGCAAGCTATTTATCTCTTGAATTATCTGTGTAGTGGTATTTACTCTGACTGTTCTTAAATTACAAAGAGGTATATGTTAAAGAAGAAGATATTTGTATCACCTTTCATATAAAACGTGCATGATGATTCCTGCTTCGATTGATTGAAGTTTTATGATAATGGAACAGGTTCACGTATTAAAAAAAGAACAGGATATGCTAATACATATTCTGTTTCCTTATGATTTTATTGAACGTAGGTCACCTCACGTGTCACCTCGACATATAATCCACTGTATGATTTAACATTATGTTACGCGTTTGTACCGTAAGCGGTGACGTCAGTACTGCCCGTCAGGCAGTACTGACCGCGTAAGTATATGATTTACGAAAAGTATAACGTTACTCACGATGCACAGCATCTACTTTTGCGCGTTATTTTCCTGCGTAATTCAGCGCCTCGATAATGATATTATGTTTAATGAGACGACCTGGTGAGTGATTTACTGTAATTCACTCGTATTCAGTTCGTTACATATCGTATATCACGAGTATTTACGGATTTATATTACGTAATAGCAGTGTAAACATAACATTATTCGCATTCTAAAGTACGATACGTGTACAACTCATTTTGCACAAAGTTAAACAAAATATGCCAAAGTTTGACGATTTTAATGCATATATTGCTAATAACGAAAAATAATATTAGTGGAACATAACATTGACAGTATTATTCATTTTGATAACTTTTGATTAATAATAATAGCGATGACAACCATCTACTAATAAGAATAACTGATATTTAATGCAATTAATGGTATTAACTATTAACAAAAAAGATTACGAATATTATAATGTGATACAAAGTAGGAAGCTTTTATTTGTCTTATTTTTATCAGTATTAAAAGTATGCAGTAAATACGTAATAATACTTGTTCTCAACAATATAATGTTTGTTTTTAAAAATGATGGATGTTATTTTTTAAAATGAATTATATAATATACGAAATATATAAATATATGAATATATAAATTGTGCAAAATTGTTAATGAGAAACGAAAGCTAATTTAATGATTGTTTCTTTATGGAACTTGCTGTAACAGTGATAATAATCATGCAGCGTACTAAACGGTACTTGACTCCATGATAATTAATCCATTTTTTTTCGAAACTGGAGCAGACCTTTTCCCGGGCTTTGCTCACGCTTAATGGAGGGACTAGTGCTAGTAACGCAAACGACTTTAACGTGTTCGGCTTCAGAGAGCGCGCGTTCTAATGAACTTCATCTAGATAGCGCGAGCGCGCGCGCTCGATTCTTTTTCGCCTCGTCACGCGATCGATCGTTCGCTCCTTCGAGTTCGACATTCAATAACCGGGAGCCGCTCTCGGGAGATCATTCGGCGCTTTCGATGCGGGAGGTCCGCGACTTCGTTCGACTCGTCCACGTCCGTAATGATGAAATATCGTATTATCGACGTATTTTCATCGCCACGTTCTTCAATGAACTTCCTCTTGCGCCGCAGGAATCCACAGGCTGAGAATAGATATAAAATTAGTTTCAATCCTCGAAAATCGATCGTTTTTACGGATAATGTAGGATAGGTATATAAAAAATGCTTACTTTTGATATTCTTTAGGTATCTGTAATTTTTATGAAAAATGACGTTCTTTAATTTACAACTTTCTACATGAAGTGAGGCTCCAACTCAAATCTATTTGTAAATCTAGTTTCTTTTCGTGGTAGAGCTCGCCCGTAAGAATTTTCGGAGTCTATATTTAAGAAAACGCAGTTTCCTGAATTAAGCTTGAAAGAAGAAAGAAAATCAATTTTGAACTAGTTGAAAAATGATGAGTGAAACGAAATGAAAACTCGATAGATCAATAGCAACTCTTGTGTAGATTTTCTGTACAGATGTACAGATTCATATCGTTTTCTCATAAAACTGTGATTACATATTTATAAAGTTCTGTATTCTTGTCTGAAGTTATTTCACGGTAACACAATAAATTCATGTGAATGTGGAGAGATCCCTCAATTATCCAGCCTTCTGGATCTCTTAAAAAACGTGTAAAAACGGAACTGCTTCCTTTTTTCTTTTATTCCCGTGTCTTCGTTTCGGCGCTTTCGCTGGAGTTAATCGACGCCGCAAAAGAGTTCGTTGCCGACTACTGGCGACTTTAAAATACGGCCGGCTTTCGTGGCTCTGACCATTAACAGGCTGCACGGTTAACCTCAGAAAGTCTACGGGTCGGCCTTCCGCCGGCCTTCCGCGGGCAATTTCATTCCGGTATATGATGAGGAAGGATGGCAAAGAGAAACGAGGTCGTCCATTCGTTCTTTTTCTCCGTACCTTTTCCGGTCCCCGACTCGAAAAGAAGTGATCTTGCAACGTCGTTATCAGAGGCGTGGATAATGACTCTGCGATCGTCTTCCCTGTCCTAACATGATTACTTTAGAATAATAACACGATTTTTAATTTTTATCTATTGTCAGTCGTGTATTAATTTTGCTTTTATTCATTCATTTATTTCAATTTTTATTATGTTATTCTTTATTATCTACAGAGATGTATACACTGTGAGAAAAATATCAAAGTATTACGAAACAAATGTTGTTTACGATGTTTTCTTCGATATTTATTAGTTATATGAAAAAATTTAATTGGGATGACAAAATATACATCTGTGAAATATATCTCATTAATTATTAAAAAAAATAAAATAGATGGTTTATTTACTAGAAATAAAATTTTATTTCGCTGTATTTAAATAAAAATTGAGATTTCAGTGAAATAAATATATTTTTCACAAACAAATTTTTAAGTATCTTTTTCTCAGTGTAAGAAAAGCTTCATAGCTTAAAAGTTCATAGCTTATTTATAACGATCTCTTTTCCTTGTTCCTAAGAAAATATAGTTCTAAAATCAAATAATCGTTCACTATTTTTGCTTAGAAATATGCTATCCTGCAGGGATAATCTACACAGATATTTGACTTTAGCAAACATACTCGTGTTCTGCGGACGCTCACAGACATCTACACATTACACACTTAT